TATATAATCATCTCAATAGATGCCAAAAATGCATTTGAATAAATTGACTATCTATTCCTGATTTCTTTTAAAGGAAGAGTTGGACTCCTTTGAAATGATCTCATTTCCAAATGATGAAACATCTGAAGTATTTAAATGAAGGTCAAGAAAAAGATGAGGAATTTTCTGGGAATCATATGCACTAGTTAACACTAAAATAATTTATTTTATTTATTTTATTATCTAATTAACATTAGATAGTTTATTATGCTAATGAAGAAAGTAACAAAATTTGTTATCATTTTTAAATCGTTTTGCAATCAGATGAAGCTAAGAAATTTTAGAAAACCAACATGACATAATGCAAAGCACATGAGTTGTACTGAATCCAGAATCATAATGGTTCTGTGATTTTTATTATTTATTTGATATGAGTAAGTTATCTAAACTCTGTGAATCTGTGTCCTTACCTTAAATGGAAGTAACAATGGACAAGATGGAATAAAGTTGCTACTGGCTTTATCTCCTGCTAATTATAACAAAACTCTGAACAAAATTAAAAAGCAACCACATGAGGACTCTGAAAATGAGGACACATGAGGACAAAGCAGATGAACTTGGGAAGGCAGTTAAAACCTGAATGACCCACACAAAAGTGAGTTCCATTTTTCTTCCCTCTTTTCTCTCATGACTTGAATCTGAGGGTGGGTCTCAGTCATATGGAAATGGCCTGCGATATTACCTAAAAGGCCAAAAAAGTCCCTTTGAAATATAGTTCAAAGAATATGGAGGAAATTCTTATTTATATTTCTCCTTTAATACTCTTGGTTTTGTCTTGAGGGTGAACTCAGTGAAAAACTGCCTGACACCAATGTGGTGGCCAAAACTCCAAAAGAAATTCCACTTCTCTGGTTAGAACACTTGAAAAGGGGGACCTCAGTGGGACAGATACTGTGGGGGGAATCTTAGAGAGGGAAGTGCTAAAGAAGGGAATCACTCTAAATCTGTATCTGAAGCTGTGTAACTTCCAGTCTTATCTCTGAACTGCATACATGCAGGACAGACCCAAAGCAGTTTGCAAAGACTTTGAAAATGGAACTGACATCAAAACCAGAGAGAGAAGAACAGAACTTGTGGTGGGAACCTAAAAAGGGTGATTGCCTATGGAAACAAACACACAAAATCAATATTCTCTAGAGTATTTAAACATGACTCAAAATCTAAACAACAAAATATTGACAGATTGCAGGATATAACCTAAAATTTCTTCACATAGAAAGCACCTAGAAAATGTGACCAAGTTTTAAGGAGAAGACAATTAAGATGTCAGTCCTGAGCTGCTGTGTCCCGACCCGCGGGATTCGGAGGCACGGAAAGAGAAGGGCTGAGGATTGAAATGAGGGGCTTGACAACTTGACGCTAGCGTTTGCTTCTTTATTTTTCCTTTATCCTTTTCCTACTTTTACATGTCTTTCTTTTCCCTGACTTTCTTACTTCCCTGGCCTTCTCTCTGCTCCTCTCGCAGTAACCCTTGTCGTATCTCCTTACTGTCTCCTCGCAGTCCCTCCTCCCTCTCTTGCGGTTCCTTTCTTATACCCCTGTAGCTCCTCCCATCATGCCTCTCAGTCTCGCGTGATTTACAGGAGAGCGCAGGGGTCTCTCCGAAGGCGAAAAACCTAATTTATCGAGCACATGTGCAACATGGCGCAAGCTCCAGGCGGCTCCGGACACTAATGGAATGATCAAAGAATTTAAAGCAGCTGTAATAATTGTGTTCCATGAGGTAAAGGTAAATACACTGGAAATAAATGAATAGATAGAAGCTCTCAGCAGTGGAATACAAATTTTAAAAAGAGCCAAATAAATAGCTTTAAATGAAAAATACACCTGTCATAAAAATTCAAAAGATGAGCTCAATAGCTCAATGGAGATTAAGGAATCAGTAAATTTGAAGACAGATCAATAGTAATAATCTAATCTGAAGAATATCAAAAAGAAAGATTCAAAAGGCAATGACTAGAATCTCAGGGACATGTGGGATAACACCAAACATTTGTGTCATTTGAAGTCCCAGAAGGTTGGGAGAAAATGACTGATGCAGAAAATATCTTTGAAAAACAATGGTGCGAAGTCCCTAAATGTTGTGAAAGACATAAATTTATACATTTAAGCTCAGCAAAGTCAAAATAGAATAAAGTCAAAGAAAACCGTTCCCAGACACATCACAATTAAACTAGTGAGAACTGAAGATAATGAAAAAATCTTGAAAGCAGTTAGTGGAAAAAATGATGTTACATATAAAATAATGAATTAAGTGACCACTAAGATTCTATCAGAAATTGAAGTAATCAGGGCAGCCCTGGTAGCGCTCAGTGCTTTCAGGTTATGACTTCTGTAGCCTGAGTTTGAATCCCAGCCAGGGAGCTAACCCACATGGCACAGCGGACCTCTCCTGTCTCACCTGCTGCTCCCCTTAGCAGTATATTTCAGTGGATCTGCCTGTTCTGCTCCCCACTCTGTCTCTGGGGAATCCTCTCATCCCCTGCACCTCTGGCCTATACCCCAGTTCTTCCATGCATAAACAAATCTTTTTTAAAAAATAAATTGAAGTAATCGTGGTTCTATGAGGATAAGAAATGATAGAAAGATACAAGTAGTTGGTATTATTATTTTAATTGTATAATTGTAGTCTAATTACCACATGTAAACACATATTTATTTTCTACTCTATTTCCTCAACTTTGTCATGATTTCCCATATGTGCAATTAATCCCAAGAATTGGATATAAACATACCTTTGCTATTATTTCTTTTGATTCACCCCCAAATCTTCTGCTCTTGTTGAAATGAGTTTCTAATTCATGTTTTGTTTTTGAACAGGTTTTTTAACTATAAATTTGCTCAAATTACATGGGTGTAATGCATCTTTTACTATTCTGTAGGGATATTATGAAGATCAAAAGAAATAAAGAGAAAAACTTAAAAGTGTATATGCCAAAGAAAACACTGTTAGTCATATTTCAGGAATAGTACCAGCTTGAAAGTTTGGAAAGCCTGCTTGCTTTTTGTCTATCTCATGAGAAAGTATTTTAGAGAGCAATGTTTTGCTCTCATTCTTCCCAAGGCTGGTCATGTTGGGGTTGTGTCAGTGAACAGTGACCCACAGGTAAGGTACCCACAGGTGCCAGCCAGGCACCGCATAAAACCCATACGGCCTTTAGCAAGGTATATGGCTGTAATTTGATGCACATTCAGCTCATATTAAATGCTACTTCTAATAAAAATGGAGATTCTGTCTTCTCTCTGGCACAGGAAACTAGAAGTAGTGACATTAAGGCACAAAAAGTTACATACAAAGTAGGATGCAAGGAGGAATAACATAACCAAATGGGTCTGAAAGTGTAGACTTTCTAAAAGTGTTTTCAGATCTGTGATCCCCTCTGCCTTCCCCAAATTCCTAGAGGCTTTAAAGCAGTAGCACTCAAGATATCCACAAGGGACTCATGAACTTGGTTTCTTGACCAAATTCTTAGGCATGGAATGAGTGGAGTCAGCATGAAACATTAGGCAATCTTGGGTTGAAGGAGGACATGAAGAGTGGATAAGAAGTGTGTTTTCTCTGAATGAGAGACATTTCTGCTTAAAGGATGTCATATAAAGACAGAGCAAATTAAGGGTCTTGCAAATAGCTCATATGCCAGATGCATTTTCTAGAGCATCTTAAAATCCTTGACCAGAAAACAGCAAAAAAAATCTCATTAATAACTTTATACTGTTACATGTTAACACTTCAGAGATAGAAAGTTAAATAAAATATATTGTTAATATTTTAAAAAATCCTTGGCCAATACTGAAGAAGAGGCACAGGCTTCTTGAACTCTATGATTCTCTGTTTAACAAAAGGCAGCAAAGCAAAGTAGAAAGAATGTAGAACCTGCAGCTAGACTGGGTTTCACTCTGATTCCTTGGGAACATGAGATGACCTCAGTTTCTCTTGGTTATAAGCAATAAGAAACCTATGTTTTTAAAATGAGATTTCTGTGCATTGCAAATGGTCTGCATGCATTCAATAGACACTTCTGAAAAAGAAACAGGATTTGAAAACTTCCTATGGTACAGAGTATTCTTTTTGCTATAGATGGGAAACAGACATGGAGAAAAATGGACACTATCTTAGATTTGCTGTGTTGGTACAAAATCCAGTAAACTTTATCCTGTTAGTCTTATTCTCATTCTAGAAGAAAATGTTAGGGAATAAAATCTTCCTACCCCCCCTTTCACTTTTCCCTTCTCATTTCCTTTTTCCAACATGTACAGACATGTCTGCCAATAGTTCATGCCCCTCTGGTGCCTCTCTCATGTAGACCCTATCACTTTTTAAAAAGTGGATCAAGTGTCATTAACTCAGATAAACTTGTCATCTCCATTCACAGTATACCATCCCAACTACAAATAAATAACATGTATTTGTTAGGGCCAGTTTTCATCTGCAAGTGGTAAAACACAAAATAATATTTTTGTTAGACTTAGTCTAACTAATTCTTTTGTATCAACATTTCCTCACACCCGATTCATGTTTATTATGAAGGACTTATTATTATAAGTCCTCCCTTTCTCTTCCCTTTCTTAGTAATTACATATAACATTTCAAGTTCTTACTTTTCTCACAATGCCTTTATTATATCTCTGAAACCCAAATCCACAAAATAAATCTAATTTAAATAAAAAAAATCGCCCCCTAAGAACTTGGTTTAATAATATTTTGCTCCAGCAGACTGAGTCACTAATCAAATATAAGATTTATTTTAATGTAATTTAGTCATTTAAAATTTCACCAGCATCAATAAATTTATCAGTCATTGCAGACTAAAGTAGCAGATCACTCAAAGAGAAACTATTACTCAAAGAGAAAACTATCAGATTAAAATGACCAGTGGTCAAGGCTAGCACTAGGGCACAGATGTCAGAACTACTCAAGAAAAGATGGGCTTTACAATGACAAGGATGGAGAGCAATCTTACCTGTCTTCTGTAAGCTTCATTAAGGTTGTTCCTCGAGTAGAGAAGACAATAAAGGACATTCTTAACTGTGGGCTGGAAATGAAAGGAAATTCTTTTAGGGCAGATGGAGACTGTGGAATGCTATTACATCATGACTGGCTGAGATGAGAACCAACGGTCAAAGGAAGCCTCCACAGCTGGTGTTGCAAACATTCAGCAAGCAGCAGACCTGATGCTATGGACCAAAGAAAAGACTCACTTTTTTTTTTCCCCTAGAGGTTGATTCTGATTTGACACAATGGTTCATTGAGTGTGGATCACAAGTAAGAAAGCTGAAATTCATCACTGCCCTGTCCTCTGTCTGAAGAAGTATTTTCTAGAAGAGAACTTCAGTCCATATTAAATGCTGCATGGTGTCCACATGGTGTGAAAACAACAACCCTGCAGATACAATTTGATAGCGTCCCCACAGTAGCTGGGTGTATTCTACAATGATATCATCAGTCATTAAGAACATACAATAAGCTCTGAAAGTAGGATCACCTTCAACATTTAAATTCCACTTGGTTTCCCAAGGAAGTTATCCTATAAGAAAAGAATGTGCTGATGGGTGACAGATATCTATTCTATCCTTGGTAGTTATACTTCTCATATTAATGAGTAATGGCACCTGGGATGGCAGTGAGAATGGCACAGTTTTTATATGCCAGTGCTCAGGAGATGTGTCAGTGTAAAATCCACACTCTGGGAGATAGAACAACTCTCAGTTAAGAGCCAAACATGTTTCTTTGTCTGCAAGATGGACTGTTAAACTGTAGTGGATTCACCAATGAATTGCTATCCTGTGAAGTTCTCTCTAGGTGACCAACTGGTTCATCAATAATAGCATCAAGCCATTTCTTCACAGTACAATAATCCCCCTGCCTCACCTGGCTCCAAATCTCATAGTTCCCACTTCCCTTTTCCGTTTTCTTAGTTTAGGACCTTGCTCTCAATTGTATGCAACTGTTTCCTAGCTGGTGACCTTGCCTAGCATCATCCTTTGCTCTGATCTATTCTTCACATTGTTTCCAGAATTGTTTCCCTAAAATATAAATCAGATCAAACTCTAGTGGCCCCTAGTGCCTCCAAGATATAATCTATGTTCACTGCCATATGTCTGAGGCATCTTTGGAAAGCCTTAGATGGTCATTAGTACTTGATAGGCACCCAACAATACCTGGTGAATTGAGTATTGGTCTCTTGAAACACATTTAGGTTCTCTGTCCATTGCACTGTGCTATGTGTTATTACCTTATTTGTGCAGGCCAGCAGGACATCATGTCCTAAATGACAATATACTAACAATTTTTACAGCAGTCAAAATAATATAATGCCATCAGGCCTGATAACCACACAGCACTTACTAGATGCAAGGCACCATTGTAAGTGATTTGCATGTATTGTCTCATTAAACTAGGAACACTTTTATGAGATCAGTACTATTATTGCTCTTATTATTGTACCTCTTTCAGAAATTGGGACCCTGAAAGATAAAGCAATTTCTCAAGATCACACAGTGGGAGAGTGATGGATCTGGGGCTGAAAACCAAGCATGTTGTTTCTAGAACTTGGACTCTGCGCCCCATATAGAGAAATATATACAAGCTCCCTTATAGCAAGTTAAGCTCTGGAAAGAATGAATTTGAAATGTGGGAAGAAATGTAGGTTTCCAAGAAGTAATTGGTATATGAGTCTGAGCTAGAGACATAATTTGGGACTTCTCAGAATACTGATACAAGTAAAATTATTCAGAGTCAGCAATTAGAAGGGAAGCAAGGAAATGTAGAATCAACAGTAACATTTAAAGATCTGGTTTAGGTCAGTGAAATGACTGAAAAACCTGAAGCCAGGGGAGAAGAGACTTTCAAGGAGAGAGAGGCTGAATCAAGTGAAGCCCCTCAATTCATCAGAATAAGCATTCAAGGAGCTCAATGGACTTTTACTCCAGGATATTACCTAGTAGCTTTGGTGAAAGCAAACAGGTAGAGGGTGGAGATGAAGGCCAGATGGCAGTGGGTTAAAGGATGACTGATGACTTAGGATATGGAAGCAGCAAATCTTTAAGCATATCAAAGTGAGAAACTAGTAAGGAAATAGGTTAGACTCTATAGGAAGTCATGATTGGAAAATGCATTGTTTTCAGATAATGGAAATGGAGTCAAGGGGAAGGTAGAAAAAAATACAAGAGAAATAAAGCCCTGAAGGAAAATGGAAACAATGGGATAAAATGAAATAAAATGAAGGGGTTCACCTTAAATGGGGGAGATATTTGAAATTCAAAGGCAGGTGGGAAGGTCATGCATGCAATTTTTAGAAGTCGGATTGGAACTGCAGGAATCACTTGCCTGCTGTTCTCTGGGTTCATGGTGATATAGGAGGTGAGGTTTTTGCTTTGAGTGATGGGTATGAAGTATAGGTTGGGGCATGAAGAAAATAGTGAAGAGTTAGAATTGTTATTAGGAAAACAGGAGAAAGTCACAATAAAGACAATCAAAAGGACTTGATATTTCAAGGATTCCACTGAAATTTGAAATGACATATTTGCACTGGCATCAGTGATTATTAGTGAATGAATATGCCCTTGCAGGACCAGTTGCCTAGACTTTTGAAGTGAATAAATAAAAACCATTCATTCCTTCTCATATTTTATTCACTTATTCAAAAGTACTGATTAAGCATGAACTATGTATGTGGCAGGAGCTGTCACAGACATTTGGCCTTCAGCAGTCAACAAAATATAGTTCTGCCTCTTGGAGTATGCCTGACAGTTATACTGCCGTGGTGCCGCACTATGTGGGAGTTGAAACAATCAGAGGAAAATGCCTCATAGTCTGGATAAAGCTATGCCAATATCTCTGGTCCTGTTTCTTTATCTATAAAACAGGAAGACTGCATTAAGCTGTCACTTAGTTCTCCATACTCCTACCTCTAACTTCTTTGAGTCTAAGCTAATGAAGATTCTGGAATTGCTGAAGGAATTGGGAAAGAGAAGTGTTGAGTGCCCACTCAAAGCCAGGTACTCGTTGATTTGCACATGTTTTATTTTATGATCTTCTATGCAAACTAGGGTTCAGCCAAGGTAAGTAAATTGCTAAGGTTGCGCAATGGAGTTTGGATTAAAATCCACATCTGACTAACTTCAAAGCCTTTTCCAGTAGACTTCTCTGCTTCACAGGGACAGATGAAAATAGCAAGTGGAGACACAGCAGATACTGTCAAGTTCTGGAGGCAGACTTGTTTTATATCACTCCCTTGGACCAAAGGATGAGAGTGCAGGAAAGGCCACTTTGGATCAGTGACAAAAACTTTCTGGAAACTGGAATCCTCCAACTCCTGGACTGCTTGCCTCAAAAGACAGCAGCTTCTCAGCAGAGCTATTCAAGTTGAGAGTTAGTTAATACCTCTTAGGATGGGTTGGAAGTCATTCCTTTCAATTCTAAGCTCTAAGAAACTCATAAGGGCCTCCCTGGTGGCGCAAGGGGATGGGGCGCAACCTATGAAGCTGTCCACAGCCACTACAGCATGAGTTCGATCCCTGGCTGGAGAGCAACCCGCGTGGTGCAGCAGACCTCTCCTGTCTTGCCCACTGCTCCCCTCAGCAGTGTATTTCTGTCGATCTGCCTGTTCTGTTCCCCGCTCTGTCTCTGGTGGATCCTCTCACTCCCCGCACCTCTGGCCTGTACCCTAGTTCTTGTATGCATAAATAAATAAATCTTAGAAAAAAAACCCACAAAAGTACTTTTACTACCACTGATGTACTTGTTTTTCTCCCCTCCCTCTTCTTTTGTCTCCCCTCCTTCCTCTAAAATCTGTTTTCCCTTTTTATATGGGTTTAGATGCTTCCTACAGCAACTTCCAATTTTTGATAAGGCAAAAGGGGACACTTCCTAACCAATTCCCTCCAATCAGGCAGGCAGGGACCTGTTAAGACCCGTAGTTGTATCTGGAGGGAATACATTTGCTATTATCCTGGTCTCAGAAGACAACGTGTATTCTGAAATAAGAATGTTATTCAAAGAAGACATTTATGGTTACTCATATCGGCTGGAAGACTCTATGGAGGCCATTTAGCAGGAGGGGAGATAGGCTAGTATTTACAATTATCAGGTCAGTTTTACCAAAAACCATGACAACTGGTTTTAAGCACATTCCGGAAAGCTATTACAATTGTGCTATCCCTTGGAGGCTGTATGCAAGAAAGGTGAAACTAGCTTCTTTATTACACTAGTGGGTGTCTATACTTACTGGAAAGCAGGACTGCTAAAACCTATAGGTTTATAGTGATGGTGTTCAAAGTTGTATTCTCCTGCCTTAGCAGTTTTGAGAGTGCTCAGAGGATTCTATTTGATAGGGCACCTAGTTAGTCTGGCCAACTGTCATGCTTTGCCCAGGACTAAGGGAAGCATGCAGGATTTGAGATTTTTAGTGCTAATACTGGGAAATTTCTGGGCATATCAGCACACATTGACTACTATAATATATCACACAGATGCCCAGTCAGGATAAGCCAACTGCCCCAGTGAAAGAAATTTCACTGTGAAAGAAATGCCCATGATCCAGCTACAAAAATATGTGTTATTTAATAACAGAGAGGAAAAGTTAAAATTGGCTCTTACAACCCAAATGTTCTCCTCCTGAAAAGATGAAGTCAAAACCTACTTTAATATGTGACAAAGATTAAAGCAAATCAAATCTCTGGTCCAGGATCTGAGAGTCTAAAAAAAAGTATCCTAGAGTCACCAGTCATTAAAAGATAGCAAATACGGACTCGTTTTACTGATGGCAAAGTATAAACCCTGACTTACTCACCTGATGAATTTGTGAGCCAGCTGTTCCACAAAGTAGTAAATTTCATTCCAGTGGTGTAGCACACTTCCCGACCTAGGAAAACAAAAGCAGATATTATTATCAGGAGTTCTCTTCATAGTCTCTGATTTTACATTTGACCTACACATTAACCGGGCTCATTATCTGAAACTTCAATAACTTTAGAATTATTTGAAAGGGCATTTAGATTTAATGTTAGAGCTCCTAAATATTTTGTAAAGCTCTCCTCCCATGTCATCTCCCAATCCTCCCACCCACTCCACACCCTCCTACACTAAACAAACAAACGAAAACACCTGGGTGCAAACTTATTAACAGGTTAGTTTCAAATCTTTGTGAAATAGCTAATTTCATGACATTTAAATTATTCCTCTATTGGGAAAGAAAAACAATTCCAATTTATTTCTTTGAAATTCGTACCAACTAGATACCCAAATAAAGATAAACAAATCCCCCTCCTCAAAAAGAGTACAATGGCATTTTTCAATATAGGTGCAAAAATCTCTAAATAAAACAGTAGTAAAACTAATCTAACATGAATCCAAAAGAAGAATAATTAATTAATTGGTGGATTTTATTTCAGGAATGTATTGATAGTTTGACATTTAAGAAAAGCAAATGTAACTTGCCATACAAAAAATAAAAGTCAAACTACAGAGTCTTTCATTTCATTCACAAGGAATCCAGAAATCCTCTTACTAAAAAAAGAAGGAAACTGTTTTTTTGGTATATGTGAAATCCTAGAATTTTAGATTTAGAACAGGGTTTCTATATTTCCCAGGATTGACAGTGATGCCATTTATTCCTGCTTCAATTCAGCTTACAAATATTTTCCACAGTGCTTGTAGTCAGTCTGTTGCAGTGACTTCATATTAGGTTTTCCTATTCTAACCCACTCTTTTCTTTAGCTAGGAAGCCTGCTTCTTTTCACTTAAGGATCTGTTACAGCTGAGCTCTGCATTTCTGCCCGTCATTCTAATAGTTGTTGAGGTTAGAGCTTGCTTCTTATACTCTGACATGTTATACTGCAAGCATTTTCCACTGATTTCAAATTACTTTTATTATTTTATCCACTCATGTAACTTAATTTCAACTTCTAAAGAGTTATTTGTTATTTTTTTCTTTCAAAATATATTAAAGCTATTTAAGATGAATCTGTGCAAAGTAGATTCTATACCTTCATTTTCACGGTATAATATCCCTAATATTATTTTTGGGATAAAATTCTCATTCAGGTTGAGTATAATCCATCTCTAGGAGAATTTATTTTTCTCTGCCAGATACCCAGAAATGATGTTTGTCTGACCTGAACAGAAGTGATATAATATGTCTTAGTGATGAAAAGAAAGACTGCATCCTAAGGATATCTCACTTTTTCTAAATTAATCTATAACTTCAATTCTAGGAAAACTTCTCAAAGGATGTTTTGTGAAAATGACTTATAAGTGAAGTGAGGGTCTCCCTGGTGGCGCAGGCGATTGAGCGCAGCGCTGTGAAGCTGTGCACAGCCTCTGCAGTGAGAGTTCGATCCCGGCCGGCTAGGGAGATTCCCACATGGCGCAGCAGACCTCTCCTGTCTCGCCCGCTGCTCCCCTCAACCGTGTATTTCAGTCAGTCTGCTGTTCTGTTCCCTGCTCTGTCTCTGGTGAATCCTCTCACTCTCCTGCACATGTGGCCTGTACCCTGGTTCTTGTATGCATGAATAAATAAATCTTTAAAAAAGTAAAAAATAAAACTGAATTGAAATTCTTTTTTTTAAAGATTTATTTTTATGCATACAAGAACTGGGGTATAAGCCAGAGGTGTGGGGGTGAGAGGATTCACCAGAGACAGAGTGGGGAACAAAAAAAGGCAGGTTGACGGAAGTACACTGCTGAGGGGAGCAGCGGGCAAGACAGGAGAGGTCTGCTGTGCCATGTGGGTAGCTCCCTGGCTGGCTGGGGGATAGAACTCGTGCTGCAGTGGCTGCGGACAGCTTCATAGGTCATGTCTTAACCCCTTGCACCACTAGGGAGGCCCCGAAATGAAATTCTTTTCTTCAAGACATAAGGACCCTCTAGTACAAATTCTTTTAAAGAAAAGGATAATTTATCCACCTAAAATGGCTACAATTTTGAATGAAGATACCATACATAATTTCCAAGATAAGAAAAGATGTCTTCAACAAATATAAAAGGAAAAAGACTAGTGTCCAGGAGATGTCAAATAACAAATAAGCAGACAGAGGACCAGAACAGGCAGTCTCCGTAAGCATGGTGAATCAACATTTGAAGTAACATTTTAGAGAACTCTGCTAGTAGATATAGAAATGCGTAAACAACTGTGAAACACCATTTCATACCCTTCAGATTGGTGAAAATTTAAATGTCTGAGAGTATTAAGATTTGGTGATAATATGGGCTAAGCAGGAGTGCTGGGACATTGCTGGTGGATATGGAAATTGATATCACTACTTAGGAGAGCAATTTGGCACATACCTAGTGACTTTAAAGATAAGCATTTCCTATGACCAGCTGCTCTATTTCTAGGTTTACAAACAAGGGCATGTGTACATGAATCTTGTAAAATAATGTTCCTTGTTGCATTTTGTAATACAGTCAAAAATACATAAATAACCTGAATATGTATCAGTAGATACCATCTATGAATACACACATTCTCTCTCACACACACATTTTATTTCTTAAAAAAAAAAAAAGTGAAAAAGTGTTGACATTTGCTCATTTTATGTGGAGAACTCATGGGTGTTTATTATGTTTTCCTTTATTCTATTTTTAAGGATGTAAATTGTTCTAGAAACTTTTAAGGGGCACTGCAGAAGGAATCAAAAGACAAGGATAGAGTCCCAGGTCCTTCCTCATATTAGAGATAGTTTTTATAGTTATAGTTTCATGTACTGAACCTATTTTAGCTAATTTGAGTATTTGGCATGACCACCAGCAGGGGAATTGTACCTGGAACGTCATACTTCTTATTAACTAAAAAAAAAAAGCTTACTATGCAGCACTATTCTGGTTGCCTCAGGTGCAGAGATGGATAAAACATGATGCTTTCCCCACAGGAATTCAGAGTTGAGTGGGAAAGAAAGGTGAATTAAACTGTAATATTCATGACAAGAACTGCAGTTTAGGGCTGTGCTTTTAGAACTAGAAGACGAATGATTCGCATTGCTTGCACAGAATCTGACAGGGGTTACTTAATTTAGATCTTGAATGATAGGTAGAACCTGGTAGAATTATGTAAAATTATTCCTAAGGGTTTAGAATGCAAAATGTAATAACAAAACAAGAAATCTGAATCTCATTCTGATTTCTCTCTCAAATGCATTCTTCTGTATTTATTTGAGTTTCAAAATCTCCTGTGGTTAGGCTCCTTAGAAAACACAAGCTCTTTCCATTAGCCACACATACAACCTGAGTCAGCTAAAATCAAGTGAGCCAAATTCTGTTTAAATACCCACTCCCACCTCTTTTGTACACGGGGCAGAATACAGTGAAAGGAAAAAAAAAAGAGAGGTCACAGTTGGAACTATCACCCTTTAATCCTGAAGGAGCACTATTGCCTAATGTATAAACATTATAAAACTGTCAGTCCCCACTTTCTCTTAGTCCCACCCAGATGAAGTCACTGATGTCTTCAGTGACCCATCCAGCTCCCCAGCTAATCCAGGAAGGGAACGGCAGCATCAGGTGCTACTAAGTGGGATCCAAAATTAGTCCTACTGGGCCTCCCCCGGTGGCGCAGTGGTTGAGCGTTGGGTTGCGAAGCTGCCCGCAGCCTCTGCGGTGCCGGTTCGATCCCCCGCTGCTCCCCGGCCACCGGAGGAGGGTCCCGCATGGCTCGCAGACCTCTCCTGCCGCCCGCTGCTCCCCTCAGCAGTGTTCTTCGGTCCTTCTGCCTGCTCTGCTCCCCGCTCTGGCTCTGGTGAATTCTCTCACCCTCCCGTGCTTCTGACTGTACCCAGTACTTGTATAAATAAATAAATACTCTTTAAAAAAAAAAACCCAAAAACCAAAAAAAACAAAATTAGTCCTACTGTCAAAGGTCCTGAACTTGTTATCTCCCTCTGTTCTCTCCCCAGCTTCTTCATTGACTTTCCTCTCCTTCCTCCTGGCCTTACCACTCCAGACCCTTAATTGGCTGGAGTTCTAACCTGGCCCAGATCTTCTTGTCCAAGTACTTACTAGGGTCATAGACAAACCCTCCTCCTGAGCAAAAAAGCTTGACCTTGACTCTTGCCTCTACTCTAGCTTCCTTAGTTACCAGTATAGATCCCAACCAAGTCACTCAGCAGGACTTTTGAGTCTGGACTACCCATCCTGCTCCTGCCTGTCATGGAGATCCGATGCAGGATGCCTAGCCCACCCCACTGACTTGTGAGCAATGTAACGGATGGTTATGAAGTCAGTGATTTTTCTTTTCCTTTTTTTTTTTTAAAGATTTATTTATTTATTTATACAAGCACTGGGTACGGTTAGAAGCACTGGAGAGTGAGAGAAATCACCAGAGCCACAGCGGGGAAGAGAACAGGCAGAGTGATGAAGTACACTGCTGAGGGGAGCAACGGGTACGGCAGGAGAGGTCTGCATGCCATGTGGGACCCTCGCTGATGGCCGGGGATCGAACTGCCACTGCAAAGGCTGCGGCATCAGGGGTGGTCCAGAGCTCAACTGTCAGTGATTTTTAAGCTATAAGATGCAATGATTTTGGAAATCAGTTTGGTGGGATGTTGCCAGCAAAAAAACCAAACAAACAAGCAAACAAAAAAACCTAAAATAAAATGGAAACAGGATACATTGCAAACTATAACAGAAAGAAATGCTATGTGAAACTTGTCAGTTATTTGTAAGTATTGCATAATACTGCATCAAGATGTAAATTATATTTTTTCTTATAGATGATGATCAAAAAGATATAGGAAAATATCTCTACCAGCTCACTTTTTCCAACGCACACACATACCAGATAACGCCAAAAAACATTTTCTTATATCAACTATTGGTAATTCTGGTGCAAATCCAACACAAGATTGTTACTCGTGTCCTTGAGAAACC